GTTTGGATATATCATTTAAGTGAAAATCCCACCATCCTCTAAGCCATCCTGTAAAACCACAGATAATAGCCTTTGCTACATCTTGGTCATGGGCTCCAGAGACCTTGCATGCAGTGGCATACATGGTCATATGTTTCATCGTGTCAAGAATCTGTAGTTCAGACATTCTGTCTATATTCCAGTTTACAATAGTTCTTCCGGAATAGGATACAGTATGGGATATTAAATCTTCTTCAAAGCGTACATCGACTGGTGCGGGTCTATGATGGTACATTCTAGATTGGGATGTAATTCTCATTTTCCTACCATAATCTATTCTGTTAATCTTATTTTCTGGGGTAAAGGCATCTTTAATATTAGTAATGGTATTTGGAATTTCTGGAATTTCATGAAGCATCATGGCTGCTGGTTCTGCTATTTTTATGACTGATTGTTTACTCTTAGATTTCTCCTTTTCTTTAATATCTAGAGTTGCTAATTTAGTAATTAACTGGTGCATTAATTCAGATGAAGATTCTTCTTTCATTTGAAATCTGTCCTTATTTATGAGAGGAGGAGGTTTAAATAATATTGTTTTTTTCTTTTCTTCTATTTTCTGTTGTGGTTTTGGATAATGTTTTCTATCCTAGTGGTCTGTTTTCCTATGGTTTGTAAATATAAATTTGTACAATTATTTTGTTCAACCAAATGAGGTAACAATTCTATTTTAAGATAAGTTTTCTCCAGAAAGTGTTTTATATGGAGTAGCTAGAGTTTCTAATTCTTGTTTTTTTTCTATTATTTTTATACTTTCTTCGGGAGGATGAATGCTACGAATATGTTTTTGTTGACTTGTAATATAAGTATCATATTGATTTTCTAAAGTATGTAGTTTAAATTCAGGGATTTTTATTCCTTTTAATGACAAGGTTGTTTTAAGCCATTCAAAAATCCTATAGTCAGTTTTTCGTTTTTCAAAAATTTATTATATTGTTTATGCATCATCTGTATTAATTCTTTTGCAAAAGTGGTTAAATACCAATTTTGAAAATCTTTATTAGTTTCACTTATATAGTCTTGTTTTATATATTGTGTATTTACTTTCTTTTCCGTTTGTAATGTTAATATTTGAAAATCAGTATCCGGTGATTCATTGTAGATGGGTTGATATACTGGTTTAAGTATATTCTCTTGAGTTCTTACTACTCCTTGTATTTCAGGTTCTGAATTCAAAGAAGTTTCAGGTCTTGTAATGCTAGACACAGACTTTCGTGAGGCTAAGAAAGTTGAGGGTAATGATTGTCTTGGGATTGGGAGATAAGTATCATCAGTACTAGTTATAGGAGATCTTTGATTAAATTGTATTTCTATTTCGCCATCTATATATTCAATAATTTGATTTGGAACATTATTTTGTGGAATTTTTACTGACTGATTGGAGGTTTGAATCTTCCAATCTTGTGGAAGTTTTATTTGAGACCATTGGATTGTTTTGGGAATTATTATATTTGATTTTTCAGAATTTGTTTGAAAGAAAGTCGTTTGTCCTTTTGTATCTATTTGTATTACATTAGGAGATAAAATGGTCATTACTTTATAATAGATTCGATATACAATGGCTAAATTTTGAGATCCTTGTAACATATCAAAACCTTGTGTTTTAATATTTAAGGTTAATACTTTAAGTAGGTTAGGGTCATGTAAAGAGATGGCATAATTTGGAAAACAATTAAAATAAATTGGTCCATTACATAAACTTGACTCAATTATGCCTAAAAGTGAATCAGAAAAATTATTA